CTGATTACGCAGTTCACAATCTTGTAATATGCAATTTAATAAGTAACTACGATTGCAGAATTTGAGGAATTACTATCAAAGTTATAATGAACGTCACTTCTTTACTATTAAACATAACGTAACTGGTGGTACAAACACACGCTGCGCAACAAGTAAACATTTGTAAAGTCGTTTTTGATACTTTTAGACCACATTTAATTTCACCGAACTAATACGAAGTCACACGTACCTGAAAGATGTCTAATTAACACAACTTACGGCTTTGGACACTGATTTTCCACACAAAATATTGAAAAATGTGCCGACCGGCATCTAACTGTACTCATCCCTGCGCGCGCAACAGCTCTCTGCCACCTTAGGTCGTGTACGGCCGCGGGCGCGCTTCGAGATGCATCTTGATGACGTCATATCCGTAATGCACCTCAAGTTGGAGTGGCGGATCGTAAGAAATATTATACGCGAAATCAAAATCAGTTGACGTTACACACTCAGATATTTCTGCATGCAGGAGTAGTTCCGTTGTTCCACATATTAAAGTTCAGTAACTGTAGAATTATGCCGCGCCATAGCTCAAGCGGTTAGTGCTGGTCAAGTGGGATTTGTGGTGGACAAAGTGGCGCTGGGGCGGGTTTTCTCCGGGTTCTTTGGTTTCCCCTGCCAATCTTAATTCCATCAAATTTTCCATCATCATAACCAGCCGGGGCAGGTACAATGGGCCAATCAGTGGCCGCCGTGCCGAGTGGACCCAGTTGGACTCCACCCCCCACTAAGCGAATTAAAAAAAAATATAGAATTACATCATGATTATCATTTAGTTACAAAACCCCGACAGAGATGAAGGGTGGCGATTCAAAACAGGGTGTCGAAGAGAATTTAAGGGAAGGAAAACTAGCAAGACAAAGACGATAATTAAATAATGTTAAAAATCTTGGGGGTGGGGGACGCACTGCCGTGTTCAGTGGCTGGCTTGTTGTCTTAGGTTTCTTTAGATAGAGTTATTGCAGTATTGTCCTGAAGGAAAGGAGTTAAATCACGAAACATCCTGTCTGGATAACAGGTCTCGCGAGAGAGTCTCCAACCCGATTCCTCTGTCAGTATGACTGAACTTGGCGGATCACCGAGCCATAATCACTGTTAGGACTGAGGGGGTTCAAGCCCCGGCGTGGGCAAGGGATGTTTTTGTCCACTATACTGAGTACTGTCTGTGTCAAGCGTCATGGTCTCGGGGTTAGCTTGCTTTGCTTCTGATCCGTGAGGTCGCTGGTTCTGATCTCGATCTTAAGATGAACTATCCCGATCGAAAGTTTCGCGGTATTCTCCAGTACCTTCATTCGAATGACAGTAAGCCTCCTTTATACTGGCCACGACAATCCCATATAATCTCTAATAAACCATTCGCAAACATTCTGTCGTTCGATAATATACGAACCTGTAAACTGACAAATAACTAGACAGGAAACAAATAGATCGGCATGAAAGAATCGAATATCAGGCAAAAGTATTTACCTAGTATATTTCACTACGGGTAAAGCTATGATAGCCTGAAGCTGACCGCTCACCACAACGTTTGTGCCGTGATCTAGAATGCATGAAGTTTTGTCTTCACGCCATCTATACGCCTTCATGACCTGCTGCAGTAAGAATACTATAACAAGACACTAGTTTTATAGCTTTAATATGCTCAAAACTGAGTTATTTCTGTTATTATTGATTGTATATTTTAGGGATTGAAGCTGTTGCCGTTCTTTTGTTTACCATCCGTCACTGGAAGGAGTGACGTAACAAATGTGCCATAAAACAAAGAATGACGATTCTGACACGTGCCTGCATACTTCCGCCACCACCCCGCCTAAATACTACAAGGTCACTACAAGGTTACTACTACGCAATATTCACCATTTTTGAGGAGTACAATAGAAATTCCATACTTAAAATGGAGTTTATATGGACGTATGTTAGTTGCTAAATTCCGAAACTTAACAGAATGTAACACGGACAAAAATTGGAAACCATTCAGATGGCCTGAGTTCGAATCTGAGGGCTTCCACACCTAAATGCATTATCTCTTCAAAACCTTCTACAGTTTTTATTCAGTTGCATCAGACTTTGTATAAATGTCTTGGAATGGCACTGTACAGTCCTATATTCGATTACAGAGGTTTTTGTAAATGAAATTCAGTTGAATAACTATGTAATGACATTAAAAAATTGTGCCAGGGAGGCGGGGCTTCAGAACCAGGTTTAAGTAAATATGCATATGTGTTACATAGCTCATATCAGGCGAACATCAGAGTGTTTAACGGATTGTTCTAACTAGATGCAACCTGCAGGGCCTTCTAGAGACACTGGCAATTATTCTGTCCATCAGAACATCCCCACTTTTATGAAACATGAGCGTTCATCACATTCCTGAGTTCGGTAGTAGATGTGGTTGAGTGGTCAGCTTCAACCCCTGGGGAAGACACCCCCTTGGTACCCATTGGATAGGATGGTTAGGCCCCAGAACCGGTGTGGACCCTGCGGAGAAGTGAGAAATCTTGCATTGCATGCAATTTGTCTTTCATTTGATTCTCAGAATAAACAGTAGTTAAGTTCCTTAAAAGGCATTAACATAGATAAACATATGCTGATATGTAAGTGCAAATAATAATATATTTCAGTAGCTGTCCCCATTTTGTAATCAATCTTATCCAACCCCCCTTTCTGAAGGAAATTATCCCTAGTTACGGCATGGTGCTGGCAGCTTCTGAATCCTCTTAAATTAACATCCATACATTTTCCCCCTTCTACAGAAGGGTGTAACAGTTCCTAAAGAAANCTGTAGGAGTGGTAGAACAGTTACAAAAGAAATGGTGAAGGGGGGGGGGGGGGTTCACTGTATGATATAGCATCCTGGAAGACCATAATCTTAAATATATACTGTCTGTGAGAACCATACATCTTATGTGCATGTCCTGATCAAAAACATATGGTATTTCTGATGTGTTACTGATGAAGTGACAAGAGAGTATATAACTATGTATTATATGACAAATTGCAGTAAAAACAGAAGTAAAGCTATCCCTGCAACAGGCCTTGGAGGCACATAGGTTTGTGAGACGTCGAGGCTCCCACATTTTCTAGACAATCAGCTCAAAAATGGCGGTGAGGTCAGCCTTACATGCAGGACATCCTTTACCCCCAGGAAGATTCATGGTACTCATTTCTGTTAGTGGCTTAGTCAGCCAAGTTATCAATGATTCTTTTATTAAGTGAACAAAAACAATTATATATTAGAGCTTTTATTGACACACAAAATTATTACACACTTGTTTGTTTTCTAGTGCTTGTCGTTAATTCATAACAATGTAGATACAAAATCAAACCAGTGTTACTGTCTGAATGAATGTGGTTCATTGCTGTGTTTCACATTAAAGGGCAATGCCAGTATTTGATTCAATCCAGTCAAGGTAGCTGGTGACCCTGGTAAAGGCAGCAGGATATCCCCTCTGGCAACCAGCCGATGAACCGAATGACACAATACCGACCTCAGTATAGCGACCGTCACTCTCCAGATATGTGAGTGGGCCACCACTGTCACCCTGTAACATGGATAGATTCCATAAAGTTACTTGAATTCAGACTTACCATCTCTGAGGCCACACCATAGCTCAAGCGGTTAGTCGCTGGTTTCCCATCGTGGCGGCCCGGGTTTAATCCTGGGTCTGGTCAAGGGGAATCTGTGGTGGACAAAGTGGGGCTGGGGCAGGTTTTCTCCAAGTGCTTCGGTTTCCCCTGCCAATCTTCATTCCACCAATTGCTCCACAATCACCCTCACTTATCATCTGGGGCTGGTACAATAGGCCAGAAGTGACCACAGCACAAGGGACTTAGTCCCACACCATTAGCAATAAAAACAATACATTCTCTGAGGCTTTTCAAGTTTGGAGTTATTCTATATGAGGCTTTATTGACAAATTCAAGGAAAGAAGTCGCTGAAAACAATGTGTATCAATGTGTTGATATGTGGCAGGTAGATGCATATGGGACTAGTGTTTTGTGTGAAATAGAAACTGAGTATTACTGACATGAAATACTCACATTACATGTGCTCTGGCCATTGGGAGTTTCAGTGCAGACTTTGGTAAGTGTTATGATATTCCCATAAGTGTTGGCACATTCAGTATTGGAGATAACTGTGAGGTCTACATAGTTAAGGGTACTGCTAACAGTGCTGGAACCTGGAAAATGTGACAATCATACATGTTACTCATCAGTGATAAAGAGAGTTGAATTACATTAAATTCTGGACAGTTCTGCACTAATCAGAAGATAAACTAGGAAGATGCTACAAGACATTAATCACATATTTAAGACTATTTGTGCTGCTTTTGATGATTATGATTTCATTTTACAGTGCAATAGCATAATGTTTGGTGAAAATAAATATTTTATTTTTGTTTCATTCTGATCCGTCACACTAACAATATTATAAAAAATAAAACAACTCCATCCAGTGTGACTGGAGTTATATATTTTATATATATATTGTCACATTGAATTCCATACACCTGAACGTAGCATAGTTAGTTGAGGCACTATACCACAAGCTGGAAAGTCGTGGGTGTGATTCCTGATGAGGTGGATTATTTTCAGTTTACCTAATCCTTCCAGCCGCACCATGGTCTTGGGGTCAACTCAGCCTCTAACAGAAATGAGTACCAGGAATCTTCCTGGGAGTAAAGGGCGGCCGGTGCGTAAGGCTGACAACCTTACCGCCATCTATGAGCTGATTGTCTAGAAAATGTGGGAGCCTCAATGTCTCACAACCCTATGGGCCTTCATGGTCTGTTACAGGGTTAGCTTTACTTTACCCTCAAACTGGGTTCATATCTGTTTTGCCAGCCATTTTGTTGCAAGAACTAGAGTCTGAACTTACTCTATTCAGAATTGAATTAAATGGAACGTATATAAATGATCAGTAATCGCTGAAGGGTTCAGTCTTCATAACCACCACTGTTCGAACCCCAAATCCTACATACTGCTATTTTCACTCTATCGAGGTTTAACAAGCTACACTTTACATATTTCAGCACTTTAGTGACATCTATGGGAGAAATTGACATTTATATAGACAGTCACTTGACAGGAGTGACACTTGCACACAGTGAACTTCTACCAATCAGGCAATGGGGTTGGTTAACCAACTTTCTGTTCATTTCTTTTCTTTCTTCAAGTCATATGAATGCTGTCAGCTCTGACACCTGAACATGTGAAGTTACTGGCTATGACATATGTACATGTACTGTTTAGTATTGTATGAACTTATACTATTGCAGTGTAATCCCTTACAGTATATTGGATGCAACAAATACATGTAGAGGATATTCATAATGACTATGAATTATTACTGAAGAGCAATTTTTCTGCTATTCTATACAACATTTGTGCTAATTTAAGAAATTTGCTGAACTAAACAGTAAAATGATGAAATGTTGTACTAACTGTCAGAAGTTTTGCCCCATCCACTGACTCGGGTACGTTCACCAGTGAGGTCAGATGTGAAGGACCGAGATGGCAGTCTCACAGGGCTGATGTAACCTGAAACAGGGATGGTGATCTTTCACGCTTTTCTTTCAGAACAACTTCCGATCTTTAAATGTAGTAATAAATTATTCAAAATTTGTGTGAAGGAAGTGTTGTGCCTTTGTATTTCCATGCTACAATCAGGAATGTTATAGTTGCATATACAGCAACATGTCTTGAGGTCCCAGGTACAATTTAAGAGTCAAATCAATAAATAACTATTTATTTCATTATTGGATAATTTCTAAATAAACTCCTTTGTTTGTTTACTTCCCTTGTTGTTTTTATGTATTATCTCTATGATTGATTGAAGAGTTTATTTTGATAAAATTGATAATAATTCTAATATGCTGAGGCAGGAGCATGTTATTAAAATGATATGTTAAATAGTTTCCATCTCCTTTTGGTGGAGGAAATGCAACATGTCTGAAGCTGGTTCAGTTTCTGGGATCAAGTCAAATTATAAAATCCTCTCACTTGAGTTCTTTTAATGGAGCTAATCTCTGTCATCATTCAACAACAGTAATTCTGCTGAGGGCATGTAAACTGTAAGGCACCTGCAGCAGAAGATAAGTAGCAAAAAACACATCTTAAGAATTGTAAATTAAATAATATGACTTTAACATAATGCTAATATCATAATTAAAACCAGAACCCATGAAACAAAATAATAAAAAATGGATATAGAAGATCAAATGCAAATTAAAAAGCATTATTTGATAAAATTCTAAAAAACAACAATGTCATTTAAATATTAACAACAATTAAAGTTTAATTTATGCTCATTGAAGTTAAAAGGAGGACCTCTGATGCTCAGACCCAGTCAGAGCTAATCCCATCCATGCCACAGTTGCTAGCCCATGGCTATATTAACTGCAATAGTTACCAAGTATAGATCGTACTAATAACACTGTATTTAATGTTTGAGGGACTGATGAATAGAATTTCTGGGAAATCTTTATGTGCATGGCTGAGGGACAAAACAAATCAAGGATTGTGCTGTTCACACTATAAAATTTTGTTTTTCTTTATAAAATAGTGTTATAAATTGTGTGAAATAAATGTGCCAAGATTCAGAGCGTGAATATTTAACAACAGCCACTACCCCACTTCTTCCACTGTTTCATCATCATAGTTGCTACACAGTCATTCTGCCCTTGGCCACAGTGTTGGTAATATCATTTAGTAGCCCAGATGCCTGCAAAATCCTTTGTCTCTCATGCTGACATGGCAACACTGCTGTGACAATATACACTGTGCCATTCACTGTTGCCAGTTCCAGAGAAACTATGAGGATATTGGAATGAGCACATAAATAATATTTCCACCTTGGGCACTTGAGAAAAATTATGCAGAAAATGTAAACTGTGTGCAAAACATCTTTGAGATTTTTAAGGTCTTTCATTCTGGTCCGTCACACTAACCAATTAACAATCAAGTTCCTTCCGTCAAATGTGACACTTTTTTAAGTTTTCCACCTCGTCAGCACCTGCCTTACATGTTTTGGCTCACCACGGAGCCATCATCAGAGGCATTTATAGTAGAAAAAGAAATCATCACAACACACAGACAAGCAACATCAACTACCGACAGACAACACACGCCAACAACATCCCGAAGCAAAAAGATTGGGCCAAGCGGGAAAGAATTCTAGGGATTTTAAGAATTCTTACTTCAAATAACGAAACATAATTTTACAGAATTAACGACGAACCAAATAAGGAAGCTACTGTGGTGTGTGAAAAACTTTTAGTGAATCGACATACTGGGTAATTTTAACTATTTGTAATTATTTTAATTAACTGGAACG